AAATTTATGAAATTTTTGAATTTTTAATAACATAATTTTTGACATATGATTGCAATGTTCATTGGAATTTCCAATGAAGGTTCACAATAGTTCCTTTATTGCGTTGGTAACACTTTTTTTTTTACTGGCCGATGTGTTTGGTCAGTATACCTATGCTGGCCGAGGTAGAGAAAATAGTCTTGTTGTTTTGCGTACATTTAGGCCAGTATAGGTCAGTAACTTGCTTTTTTTGACATACTTGCGAGAAACCGAAAAGGCCTATAGTTTTCTTCTTACTTTAGTTTTCTTTACTTCTGTGAGTTTTCTCATTTTTTGATGCTTTTAAAAGTATAAACTGAATGTACGCTACAAGTATCTGATCTTAGTGTACGCTACACAACTGTACTATACAGTTGAGCAAAAAAAATAAGAAAATGATTGTATGTTTCGATCACGCGATCATAGTGAACAGTTATAGTGTACATAAACAGTAAGCTATAATACTGGTATTTGCATATTAGTAAAAAACCTTTATATGAAATTTTTATCTGACTCAGTACAATTTTTAGTGAAATGTTTGTGTTCCGTACGGAACAATATGCAACGTAAAGTATTGTTCAGTTTCCTTTCGTTCTATAATATTAAGAAAAAAAGTATTTTACAGATAAAAATGTTGCTTATTTCTTCCATTTTATATAAATTCAATAGTATATTTAACGACGTTCAATGCAATTTGCAATTATTTTTGTAAAATGTCACTAGACAAATATTACAGTTATTTATTAATCGATTTTATATTATTTTTATATAGATATACGTATATATTTACTGAAAGAAATTAGTATTTGAAGCAAATTACGTATTTGAAAGTGTTTGCTTGATTGCCTTTTTAATCAAGTATTGAATGTTTATATGTTACTTCGCTAATCAATAGCCGCAGGTATATTGCCATATTTTAAAGAAAATATTTGTGCATTTGTGGTTAAAAAAATAAATTGCCAAAACGATTTCAGTTCGAAGCTCATACTTTTATTCTTCATAAAATGCCAATTATTGTTAGCTCATTTCCTTGACATTTATTTAAAAGAAAATCGAATTCATTTAATATTCCTTCTTCCAGTTTATTTTCATTAATTTAAAAGGAAATTACTTTTGGGGAGTGAGAATATAATCCTTAACAACGGGGCGTAAAAAATGTCATTTGCATACCTTTAGTAAAAATTTTTTAATATTAAAATTATTACAAAATTTTTAAAAACTTAATTTTGTTAGAATAAATAAAATCAATTATATTTACCTTTCTCATTCATACGTTTACCATTACCCTTGCAAATAGGTGTTATTATCATATTAGTAAACAATTAGTTAATAGTATTCTATCAATACTATATGATATGTAATTTTGTATTGCTTAGAAACCAGATAAAACTGGAAGCACTCGAAAAAAATATTTTTCGTAGGTCCATTAGTCCTCTTCGAGTTGGTGATAATACAGATCCAAACTGGATGAGTTATATCATGATATTAAAATTGTTTTGATAGATTGCTTATATTATGAGAATAGACAACGATCAAACTATATAACACTTTCTCAATTTACATTTTTGAATTAGGAGTTTGAAGAGAAGTTAATGGCTAGTTAACAGTTTGGTAACACGCGATAAAGAAGTTTCTAAAAGCACCAGTAATTGAGTAGTTCAGAGTAATACCGACATGAATACTCACACTAGTCTTTTTATATAAAATTATGTTAAAGTAATATTAATTATTTTGGGTAAGGCGTTTCCATGAACATAAAATATCTCAATGCATTCAGTCCTAATACTTACGAATGCAGATATTACCATTAGTATTTGTATATCTTTATACGTATACTTTAGTTTCCAATATACTGAGGTACTCTTGCAATTAATTATAGCATTTCTTTGTGCTTTTCTCAAAACTTTAATTTTATTTAGCAATAGCATTTATTTATCTATTAATCGAACAATTACTATTTCAGCTTTTGTTGCGGATTTAAATAATATCGTGGTTTTATTCTCAGAAATGAGTAAATTAAAATTCAAAATACATATTACATTAATATACTTCATAAGGCTTTTTTTACACTGGAACCAATGACATTGAGTTTATCTTGTAATCCATCTCAATAACTATCTTGCAAGGGCCGTAGCGGCCATTTACGTCTGTGGGCCGGAGTGTGATTGTTAAATAAGCAAAAAAAGTAAGTTATGACTAAAAAAAATCGTCTTGGCGTTATTTTTCATATAGCTGCTAGGCTAAGGATTGGAATAAGTTTACAACTGACCTTAAATGTTATCTCAGTGTAAAATAGAATTAATATACTGAGCAAATGCAAATGCTAGTATTAATGTTGTGTACTTTTAATGTCGTTTAATGGAAGATGTGTCACACTCATCTATTGTTAAGAAATCTTCAATTAGAGCAATTTTGGCAAACACTAGAAGGCTGAAGTGTCTTCTATTTACTTAAGGACAGCTGTTAGGAACTTCACTGGTTCGCTTTAGTAAAAGTCTAGTAACCTTTTTATTTCTATTTTCACTGTCACTTTTGCAGTTCTAGTGCAAATAATTATTGATCTTTTAATTATTAATCATTTACTTTATTACTTTGGTATAAACTTCTACTACATTTTTTTTAATATCGTGGGAACGATATCTTTTGTTTGCATTTTAGGTAGTAGTATAAAATTGACATAAAATATGTATAATTTTTTATATGTTAGCAATTGATTATGAATATTTTATAAATAAAATAAAAGACAAAATTTAATAAGCTGAACGTACCTGCCATACATGATATTTATCATAAAGAATGCATCATAGTATCATTGCACTAAGAGATCTCGTTTAGGCTATACCATTTGGTTTAGCAGAAGCAAGTTTAGGGAAACATATGTCATTTCTAGACAAAATTTGACTATTTTTGGGATATGTTCACTCAAGAAATACAAAATTCAATTATATTTCGCGACGTTATAGTGGATTCTTATTTACATTGTGGTGTTCGTATAGCCATAAGATATTAACTTTTTTAAATTCAGTTTAATAATAATACGAGTTAATCGCTTTTATTTATTACGGAATTATTTTGAAGTACAATTACAAATAAAATAAATTTTTTGCATTAGGTTTTGTTAAAGCCTAGTCGCTGTTTTAGCACCAAATCAAGAAAGCCAAAATTTTTTATATAAAAGATTCAATTACTCTACATTTCTCATAACCAATATACAAAACACTTCAATTTAGTCTAATGTTACTAATATTGCGACTATCAAAAACTGAATTGGGTACATTTCAGAACATTCTGAGCTGTTGCTTCTAAGAAATATAATCTCAAGTAAGAACGAAAATGAAAATGTAGTAAATGCTCCTCAGTTTCCATTTCATTACTCCAGCTTCATCATAAAATAGCTTTAATATTGAGCTTTAAACACCGATTTCGAATTTGTATATAATCCCAGCGTAAATGCCAATGTTGCCAAATGGAAAAAACAGAGCATTTAAACCTGACCCGATTGAAGAGCAACAGAGCAACATGTGCGTATTTACTGAAATGTAAACAATGTGCAATTGCTTTGGGCCGAATATTTGATTTTTTAAACAGCTCACTGCTTCCACCGTATATTACATGTATATGGAAACATGTATATGGAAATATATATTCACAAACAATAAAATCACATATTTACACATTCTTACCAAAGAAATGTTAAGGAAAAAAAGAGAGTTTCCGTTTGTACAATTTTTAATATTTAAAATGGTAGCAAATTGGCAAAAAGGATATGGCAAAATACTCACATGTGCAATCAGAATTTAAAAGATACGTATACGCTATGACAGCCGCTATTTACATATAAATATAAATACAAACATATACCAATATAAATAAAGTAGAGTATGTTTTGTTGTATTAAAAGAAATAAAGATACGTTCTCTTAGCTGCAAATCAATGTGATGGTAACGGGGGAGTAAATCACTTGATATTAGTAGGAGAAGAAAACGAGAATATAATCTAGGTGAATTATTGTTAAATGTTTAAAGGCTTTTAATAAAATAGTTCGTTATGCATTAAAGTAATATACATATATTTATATATATATATATAATAAAAACTGATTACCAAGTTTTTGTGTAAAAAATAAAGGAACGCTATTTCGTATTTATTATAAATATTTTCTAACTTCAACAAATTTATTCATTAATTTATTCATTATTATTCCTAAAAATGATCAGATACACGTTGTTAAATAGATCATTCAAGATACAAGGTACTTCATCTTATACCTTCTACAAGATACTGCTATATTTATATTACTATATAAATGTAATTACTATCATCATTAATGAAGCAACGACCATAGTTCAATCCTGGCTTTCTTTTGAAATTGCTTCCACATATGTCTGTCGCTTGCTTGAATTCTCCAGTTTTTTCTTCCAAGCAGCTCCGTCGTTTACTAAACGTTGTCTATCTAGCGTAAGCTTGGTTGACCTCTTTTCCATCCTCCTTCTGGTGCAGATTGAAATTTGTTTTTGTTGGGTTATCTATTACTCGTTTGCTTATTGTTAGTTCATCTAACTCTTTTACACATTCGACAATATATATCAGACGATAGAAGTCGCCTTCTGTCAACACCAATTATATGGATCTAAATATCCAATTGTAATTACTTTAATTTTACTCGTTAGTTGGTTCACCTAACTCTTTTTGACATTCGTCGTTTTATCTTAGCCGATAGAAGACGCCTTCTCTCACTGGACCAAATATACGGCGTATTCTTTACCGCAAAACTATATCGTGAACTGCGTTCCAGTGAAAGAAAAATATTTTACATGTAATTTTAGTTCATTCTCATAAACATGTATTGGCGTTACAATTTCTACTTAGTTTTCGGTTCACTTTCAAATAAAAATGTGATCGCATAAGCCTTGTGACAGTTATTAAATAACTATATTTTTTAAAATTATTTTTTGACATTAAAATTTAATTTGGTATTTGAAAGTTTAAAATTCAGAGTCCATATAATTTAGTAGTGGTTTTGTGAATATCATATATATAAAATGGAATCAATTATCGCAACAAGCTGTAATCATGGGTTTTAATACAGGTGACTGTATATCTTAACTGTCAATTGGTTTTCTTATATTTAATTCATTGAATATAAATAGAAAAATATCTGCAAATATATTTTTTGCATTCCTTTCATCTTTTAAACAAAAATATATTTGCATAAAAAAATAAAAAAATTAATAAAATTATGTTGACATGTACTCTGATCATTCCAGTGAGAGAAAGACATTTTTAATACTACTATGATAAAGTAGTATGTCTTTTCAATATTTTATTCTTGAATGCATGTATAGACGTTGGAAATTCAACCCTGAGAGTTGTTAGCATAAAGAGCACGTAGTATTTGATTTTAACATATAATCGGGATTCTGCAAAAACATTAGTTAAAATATCTAATTTTAATACATTTGTTGAAAATGAAATAAATAACATGATTGCTTTGAGTTAACCTTCAAATTGCAATGTCAATAACTATATATTTTAACATTATAATTTTATTTTCGATTCGATACTTTGAAATTTTGTGTCCGGATAAAATAGTAGTGATTGTGTGAATATTGTGTTTATCAATAAAATATCAATCAATTCTCGCAAGAAATTCCAATAATGAATCTTAGCAGATGTGAGTACATACTTTCATAATCAATTGATTTACTGCATTTGTATAAAAATATCTGCAACTAAATAATTATATATTTGCATAATAAATAAAAATTTAATTATTTAATATAACATGTGCTCCGTGCTTTGTTGAATTATAATTTATATTAGCAAATTTTTTTGAGAACATTAATGCTTTTATTTTCTGACCGATTGCCTGACCGATTTTTGATTGGTATATTTTTCAGTACCAATCTTCTTGAATTTTAAAATAAGTTAATATTCTATCTTCCATTCCGTTTTGTTACCGCCGTAATTAATACAGTGATCCGCTACATCTCTACATCAAAGTGGTTATACGTTTAATTAAGTTATCTTTTGTCAATATTATATATTTTGGATAACTAATTTCATTAATCCATATAACGTGACTCAACTTGCTTAAACATTTTATTCTGATTACTGTCAATGCATTTATGCGACCTGATCGCTGTTCTTATTATATATCCAAAACTAATATTTTTTTTTGTTGACAGAAGTGAGTTAAAAACTCAACTATTTTCTCAATAAAGAAAAACAACACATCACCATATATCCGCAATTAGTAGTAAGTCTTCAGAGAATTTGTCAAATTTAGTATTAAAACATGTCTTCTTCTTAGTTACTGAATTCAATATAGAATTAATCGAACAATTTTTTTTTTTGTTATGAAGTCTGAAATATAACAAACAAATTTATATGTATATATATATATATATATATATATATATAAGTCTGATCTATTTAACATTTTACAGTACTTGATTCTTTTGAAGTAGTTTTCGGTGACTTGTCTGCAAATACCTGGCAATAGCTTCGCCATACTTTAATGGATGTTTGTTTTCAAAGCGTAGCTCTTGTGTAGAATATTAATGATATATAGTTATATATTATTTGAAATGTTTTCAAATTATGAAATAGACTACGTGAATAATATCTAATTTTAAACTTTAAAGTTCTATAAAAAAAAACGCCTTTTTAAAGTTTTACATTTTTTTTTTTTCAGATTGCTCACATTTTGAACAAAGTTTTTAATGGACTTACGAAAATAAAAGTGAGTAAAAAAACAAACTGCGATATATATAAAGAACTTCAAATTGATAAAATATTTGGGATTCCATACAATTTACAAAATATATTCAAAAATTAAAAAAATTGGTCTCTAACACAATTTGTCAATTGCATTGATGAGAAAAATTTTAATTCCTTGACTAGACGAATTTAAAGTTAAAAATAGCAAAATGAATAATGAACCCTAAAATTTTACTTTTATGCATTATTTACATAAAAGTTATTGAAATGGAATCCTAATATATATATGCTATATATTTTTGCATATTTTTTCCAAAAATTATTAACAGTGTAAAGTATACATGTATTTGTGATGTTGAAATATATGAACTCTACATAAGTATATAAATTTATGTACTCCACAAATAAATGCTTACTATCTATAAACTTATCTTCTTTCCATAATCATAATTTTTGTCATTATAGATTTTGTTTATCTTTAGTTAAGTCAATTAGGTTTGTCGACTATATTCCCATGGTTTTACCCAGACTACAAACTTTCGCTGTCATCAATCCATCAAATTCCTAAACCATTCTTTATTCTTGTGCTTAACACTTTCTAGGCTAGTGCCAAGTATTGGATAGTTGTGATTTAGTAAGTCTTACGATATCTTTTTCATGGCCTGAGTAGTAATTCGTCGTTTTTGCATTGATAGAAGTTTCTATCTCTCTTGTGACCAAATATTTTTGGCAAAATTTAACTCTTCTGCGTTGTTCGTCCGTACGTTTTATTGTCCTTGTATATGTATTTTAAATCAACAGCTGTATTTTATAATTAAATTTGCTTTTTTGATATAAAGATTCTGAATTGATCAGAAATTTAGAGGTGTGTAAAGTACGCATTGTCTTCTGCAGCTATTTGTATTTGTTAATTTCTACAAATTTGTAAATTTTGTTTTATTATATTACTATATATATTTAATTCGGTTGATTTTTATTGACTCACTAAATACAGGGAAATTACAGAAATACAGTTAAGGGTTAATTGTTTCAGTTAAGGGTTAAAAACTATTGCTTGTTCCATTGTTTAACTGTGACTTCTATAGCTTTCAAGTCTATTTTCTCTTCCATAACTTGTGCTTTGGTTCATTCTAGAGTTAATCTAGTGAGCTTGGTTGATTTTTTTGTTAACACCGTATTTATAAAATTAGTTGCTGTTTTACTTTAATATAAATCTATGGAACAATTTTTAAAACTTGACTGAAGATTACACTCAACCTTATACCATTTTTCTTTGTTTAGTTTTAATACTTAGATTTAATATCAGTTGTGGAGCATTTCGAGGTAAAATCATATCGACAAGAATATCTTTAGCTTCAGTTCTTAGACGGTTTGCTCGAATGATAATAGATACTTTATAACATTGGTCAAGTCATTCTATAATTTTCATATATAATCTTTTTTAAGTAGTGACATTAATACTCAAGTTGTCTAAGTACATCATTTCTTTTGAGCTAGATTATCCAATAATACTGTAATATCTTTTCCTTGTTCTCTGTTACTTGTATATTTAATCATTTATTTGAAAAAGAAAAGGATTTCATTCTTAGAAATACTTATGGAGCTATCAAATATTCCTGTCAAGCCTTTGTCGTACAAATCCATTGTTGATATCAAATTTTCAATTTGGTTTCGATATAAGAAATATATATTTTGTACGACTTAAGCGCGTAATTAAGTGCTTCTTAATCTATATATATAAAAAGTAATGTGTGTCTGTCTGTTTGTACTCGATGGATTTCAAAACCATACATCCAATTACCGTGAAAATTTGGGAAATTATTAGGTATATTCCCGGGAAGGTTTTTGCAAATATTTATTAAAATCAAAGTTGGGGTTCTAAGTGCATTTAATTAGTAATATTTTGGTAAAAGTGTATTCATGGTTACCATGGTTGTATTGATAAATTTACAGCTGAAGAAAATAATTGAAAATACGTTTTAGCGAAGTGCCATTGGTCGAACTACAAATCAAGGAAAAAGGAGAAGAGAGGAATGAGCTTCAGAAACTAATAATATATATTATTGTATACATATGAAAGTACACAAAGTATAAGAACAAATAAAATATATATTTATATATTTAATTTGATTGAAAATAAACAATCCCCACTTTAAGAAGATAATGATTAGTCATATTCTATTCTTCGGTAGTTTCTTTTGTCTGCAAAATATCTCTTCAATAAAATGTAGAATGCTTGAAGCAATTTTTACCTTTTTTGTTGTCTTCCATAAAAGGCAAATATAATAGCTTCCATAACCATAACTGCAATTGAATAATATTAACATTTTACCACACACAATTGTTGTGGTTATTCTGAGTTTTTCAGTGAATATCTGAGCAGTGGTTTATTTCCTTTTTTATTGCATTTCCTGTATATTTAGTATTGTTCAAATTAAAATATATACAAATACACGCACATTATAAAGGTAAAAAATAAATTTTCAACTGAATGCAATATGACTATAATAATTGTTAAGGGACTTAAGCAAATTGAATTTTTAATTTAGATTTTTCAAAAAAAAACATGCAGATAAAAGAAGAGACCATTGGTATTTATTGAAAGTGGAAATAAAAATTATAATAAAATTAATTTGATGATATTTATTAAAATTATTGTATTTTAATGAAGTTATAATGTAGGTACGGTAGGTTGAACAGGTTGGTCACCAGTTAGAGAGGTAGCCATACCTAATTGGTATATGTGTTCTCTGTATGATTGTTTATAAGTTATTAATCGGGCTCTATAGCCACATTACCTAAACATTTTAATGAGGTCATTCCAGTTTCTTCTGAGTAGAAGGAACTTTATGTCTTTAGCAAATTAAAAAATTGTGACAGGTCCCTGGTTATCTCTCTCCTTCACAGCTTGACACTTTTTAATCGAGTTCTAAACAAAATGGAACATACACACAATATATGCTTCAGAGCATGCATTTCTAGAATTTATTGATGTCATTTGGATGGATGTCATTTTGGGTTCCAATCGTTACACTACAGTCCTTCTGAAATAAACCAAGTAAAAAATTGGGGAATTGTCCTTTGTATTTTTCATTACTAAATTTATCAATTTATTGTCTCTTCTGTCACTCGGTATTAGTTTTATAGTTTCATGTATAGATAAGTAACCTTCCACTGCTCCATGAATATAGGAATGATAAAAAGAAAATTAACATTCAAGCAGTAATTGTTAACCAAATCAAAGGTAAAAAATTATTATAGTTTATTAACCATGAGGTTCTCTTTCAGTAGCACAATCGGGGGAATTAAATTACATAGATCAGCTCTTTGAAGCTAAATTTTATGTATTTTATTAGAAAATTTCTCAAATGAAGTACATATGTTTTTTTGGTTGATGAAGTGCATTAATAGTAGATCTTTAAATTACTATCATCATATCATGAAATTGAAATAATTTTTTTAAAATTTTTTTTAATGAATACTTTAGAACTTACACAATAATATATAGTTGTAGTACCAAATATTCAAAATTTTCATAATCCATTTATTTTGATTATTAAACAAATTTCTATTTAAATCTCCTGTCTAGTAAAAATTATTCTTCACATCGATACTATGCATATTCAAAAGTGCATTTTGATCTAGTAATACAAAGTTAGTTTGCTATCTGAAAGCATTTCAACTTTTTCTTTTCTATAATTAATACACTATTTTTTTTTATTAAGATATGATAAGACTTAAGTGTCTTGCATATGAAAAACTTTGGCTGAGTTGTTGACGTACCTTTCAAAATATGATTAATTTAAGTGAATTAATATCAAATCTATTTCATGAAGTCACATCGTATATCAATAAAATTTACATTAGTGCTGATTGCGTCAAGTTGTCGAATCCATCCACTTATAACTTAGCGACTATCTGCTTTTGATTAAATTATGAATAATTAATCTGATATTAATTTCAATATTTTTTCGGTGAATAAGAAAAAAAATATTTTTCTATTTATATAAAATTTAAATAATGGAAATATGTACTGTAAGGGTTTTCCGTAATTGATTCGGCTTGGTCTTTGATGTACAAATTTAAGTTTCTGAATAGATGAGTCATTTTATGGGTCTCGAAATGATAAAAATTTATTTCTTAAAATAAATTTTTATGATTGTTGTCTTAGCATGCATCTGCTGCTTAAATAAATAAAAATCAATTTATTTTTTTAAATTAAATGCATTGTTAGGAAATTAGATATATGCAAAAAATATTTTCATATTTAGATATTATGGACATAAGAATGCATTTTAATATGCATTTTATGCTCTTTTATATATAATTTTTATAAAAACTTTGTCATATTAAATTGATACGCAGTTTGTAGTTTGTCATTACCGTCCAATTGTCATTAAAAAAATTTTATGAAGAAAAGTTATAAATTTTTAAACGTTAATAATGCAATCGAATAAGTACTACCATATAAGATCTTTGAGTCTTACAGCAATTCGTGTCCAATTTTAAATGTTCATAGAAAACTTAGATTATATGAGACATAAAGATATTTTATATAAAGACATAAAACAATAATGAACAGGATAAGACTGACTACCTATCTTCTTTAAGTTTCTACAAAAAGAATTTTAGTAGTTCGGAAAGGCTACTTCAAAGACATTTGTAGAGGGAATGATTTGCAAAGAGAATCGTTTTTCTCAACATTACACATTAGATGTAATGTGAAAACATTTAAAGTTGGCATTACAGCAGCTCTTAAAATATCTAAAATTATATTATTAATTTTAAAATTTGTCGATTTTATAATTAGTCGTAAACTGATAACAATATGATAACAACTTATGGCGTAGTCGCCATTGGTAAATCTGGGGTCAATTTTCTTTTATGGAGATGCTCTTTTAATGCGCTTTTAGTGCATATTTCTTTTTCGATTGGTAAATTAGGGGAAAAATGTATAACACTTATGATTAATTTATGACACTCTTAATATTATGACAGATTAGCGAGATCACCCTGAAATTATCAGCTGAGTTATATGATTTAATAGATAAACTGTGATTTCATTTGATATATGTAATTATAAAAAATATAATCTACTAACACGACTAAAATAATGGTCGAGGCCAAAAAAACAAAATTTGACAAATCGAGAATAAATCTAAATTGAATCCAAATTTACCAATCGAAAAAGCCATTAGGTAGTATTATATTATTTTATATTAGTTTTACAAAATAATTTTTTTTTTCAAATAAGTAGGAATATAAATTATAAGAACTTCAAAGAATTCAATTTTTTAGTAAGCAAAAACGTAACTCACATATCACTTATAAAGTATTCAGACAATTATTTAAAGGACTTGTCGGTGTATTTTTTATCGCTCTTTATCAATGAGGACTTGACGCTCCTTATCAATGAGGGTTTTAACTAAACTTCAAGGTTTATTTCTCAATAAAAGTGAATTCCTCAAAAGTATTCTTAGCTAAGTTCGTTCTAAAATCGTTTTATCCATCTTGACATCATCCATTCTGAAACTTGATTCTAATTAGTAAATTTGTGTATATATTATTTCTCTTTTTTTGTTAGTTTTGAAGTTTGTTCTAAGATGATGCATTTTTAAAATAAATAAATAAATAAAATTTGTATTAAAGTTTACATTATTTTAGCAAATATATCCTTAAAAAAAAAAGCTAAAGTAAATAATTTTATTATGAAGTAAAACTTTTTACATCATCACCGGTATGTCTTCGAAAAAGTTAAAATACGCATACCTTCAACATTAGAAATTATAAGGTTATAGTACTCGTATATGGTATATTAGATAACGACAGATATACGATGTGAAATTTATGTATTGTGCTTGACTGAAACAAGAGTTTTCGAAAATTACTCAGCATTTCCCATTTTACTTAACATATTTTATATCAAAAGTAGTTCAATGGCATATCATGTGTGGGAGCAGAGATTACTGAAGTCGGCATTGATGAATTAAAAAACAATGTTTATTTGCCTTTACTTTCAATGAAATAAAATGAAAGTTTTAAGTACAACGGGCATATGACGTCGATTTATGTGCTACCATAAACAAATTTGTTTATTCGCATTTTTTTTGAATTTATGTAGTATTTTTCACTTTTTCCAATATTTATTTTTCGCACTTCATGTTGGATATTTGATAAAGTTTTGGTAAAAGATATGAACACCAAAATGTAATCATTAAAAAATGAAAATAAAAACAAACATAAACAACCGTTGCTATAAGAAAACTGTATCGCTGAAGTTATTAAAATATTTTATATATTTTTATGGATTTCTAAACTTAAAAAAAATTTCCTATAAAAACATTTGTAAATAGTTTAAGCAGAGCCCTTTTAAGTAAAAAAGCAGAGTTCGCCAACCTAAATTTTGTGGTAGTGTTCACTTTAAACAGCAATAATTAAATATAGAATTTAAATTATTGTTTTATTATAATATTATTAAAATAAATAACTTATAATATTACAAATGATAAAAGCTATGTGTGAACAGTAAGTTTTCTCATTTGGTAATTTTAGAATTAAAATTTTAATTGACTTTTATTTGCTTCCTTAAAGTTTTACAATAATAACTGCAATTTACTTTTGAACTTCAGAAAATTAGACCTTTTCACTTCCCTTGTTAAAAAGCTAATAAAAAATTTTACGGAATTTGAGGTTATTAGATATTATTTGGCAGTAGAACAACTATCTATGTGCTGTTTTTAAGCATGTCAGATACCTTGCTTTGGCAGTACCACTAAGGTGCAAATGGATCCATGAGGGTTACAGAGCTCCAATTTGCCAAATCGGCAGCTGGAGGTCTGGAAACTAACACAAATAAAAACGGTTGATGGAATTTATCTTAGAGCTGATGCTGTTGATATGTTGTTTTTAAGCATGTCAGATACCCTCCTTTGGCAGTACCACTAAAGTGCAAATGGATCCATGAGGGTTACAGAGCTCCAATCTGCCAATTCGGCAGCTGGAGGTCTGGAAACTAACACAAATAAAAACAGTTGATGTAATGGAGATGCACTGTAAGCATGGATTTTAAGGGGATATGAATCCATGAGCATGACACAGCTTCAATCTGTCAAATCGGCGGCTGGAGGTTTGGACGCCAACACAAATGAGAAAGGTTATTGAATTACTAGAATGATACAAGTTATAGAAGTCGATATAATCGTTTTTATATGAATTTTAACAAATATTACATAGAAGTTTTGAAGGTTTGACACCTCTGCTATGGCATATCTTATCACTTCCGATAAGTGTGAAGCAAAAAAAAATCCCGAAAATTCATTCTGTGAGTAGAAGTAAATACAAAACAAATAACAATAAAGCGCATTATAAACAAAGTATTGTCGTTTAAGTAGCAAATGTATTAGCACGAGTATTGGTTATGTCGCCCAAAACGATTCTTCAGTGTCTCACTGTGGACTAGTGTTGGAGTTCATATTTGTGACAGTTTACATGCTAGGGCTGTACTGCGTGTGTTAGTCAATTAGAAGACAAGATACAAGCAACTGCTTTCGCCACTTTGTCTCCTCTAATCAATTTAAATTTGTTTATCGCAGTATTAGAAAAGTGTCTGTGAGTAAATATAATTTAATGCCGAATAATTGTCAAAGAATCGCGTGGATTTAACGATATTCAAGCGCTGTTAGTGTGGGTTAACCATTAAAACTGACAAAAGAGCCAAAATTAAATACGAAAATGGAATTTTGCATTTTTATCGACAGTTTTTTTGAAGTGGCGAAACTTAATTGAAATCGCGGAAACAAGTGAAAAATGTTCATATTACAAATTCAATTTTTTCACTGCAATTCTGCTAAAAAATAAATTTACTTGATGTATATTTTTGTAATTTTATTCATGTTTAATTCGGGAAACACTTAAATCAAGTATCATCACGTGCCATTCATAAAATTCTGCTCAAATAAATTTTGTTGAATTTTGTTTTTATTGTAGTATTTTTTATTTTTTGAAAAACTTTGAAAAGAAATAAATAAAAAAAGTATAAAGAAAATAAAAATGAAAAAAATCAAAAAGTTGTGAGAAGTGAAACATTTTATGACTTTTTCTATGAATTTCCCTTCCATTTTTGGCATTTATAGTGAATTATCTTTGGTGTTTGCTCTCCCAGATTTAATTATAATTTTTTTATGCTTTCTAAGAAAATCTTAAGATTCCAAAAGTGTCAGCAAATAGAAATGTTTAAAAATAATCAGATTTAAGTAGTTACAGTACTATCGTAGTACTTATCAAGAAGTAAATGTGTAGATAAAAGAATCCTATTATGTGTTCTAAGAAATTAATTCGAAATAATACTATTTAAACCTTTTTTGCGAAGCAAGTAAGTTTCTTCTTGTTATACTTTTAAAAATCTTTAAAAAAACTACAAAAATAATTATACTACAATTGTTTTGTTCTGTAAAACAATATGATAATTAGGAACTCATAAATGTGTAGGGTGAGGCCTTATGCTCCAATAAGGAGTTAAAGGAAAGAAATGCGTGGTTTTAGTGCATTGAACTACATGCCAATAGATTTCGCTTTTTGGCAAGAATATTAGTTTACCTTATCGTATATTAAATACCAGAAGACACCCTTAAGAAACTGCAGTATATAGAAATACAATAATGTGCAGACTTCTTTCTGTTATGGCCTAAAATACACTTTGTCTAATAATGCTTTGTGGATATAGAATAAAACAACAATAAGAGACGCTTTTGTTTGACATACATATACTTCTCCACTCTGATGAGCCTGGGTAGATCCCACCAGAAATGTGGAAACTTATAGAGGACTGGACAAATGACTTATGAATATTTATTGATATTTTAGCCTCTCGGTTAAGCCTCTCGGTAGCCTCTCGTACGGAGATTTGACAGTACTTTCAGTTATATTTCTTTTAGTTACATTTCTATATTTTTTAACTTAATTATTTTTATCAGTGTTGCGAATGGGAGTAAATTATGCCATTAGACAAATTATAGTGGTTTCTTTGGTGACTAGCCTTCAGCGTGCCTGGGTATTGTCATTAGACAATATACCGTATGTATGGGTCGATAACAGTGTATATAATTATATACGCATGCCAGTGACAAACCTCCAATCAGCAGATAACTGGAAGTTTGGACACACAAATAGTCAAATTCAGATCTGCATTTAACGAAATTATTAGAAATTAGAGTTAAATACCTTTCAATTTGAGGTAAAATATGTAGATTTACTATTCCAATTAAAAAATTTGACTTTTCTAGTAAATTATACATTTTTCTAATTTGATAGATATACTTGTATATACTATACTTCGTTGGGACTCAGTTATTTAAAAACTAACCTTTAATGTCGTCAAGTTAACCTTTTAGTTAAAGGCCGAATGATGCCGATTTTAACAGAATTAACGACAAATTTTGATTGCATTAACAAAAAACTAAGCACTCCATCTAGTATTAAGTATTAAATGCTAATGAAATGTATAAGAAACTAGTAAACTAGCTTTAATCTTTTACGTCCTATTTACCTATACAGTTGTATTAACGAATAAGAAAAGTTTATTTTCTTTTATAATATATTTTTACAGTTCTTTCTGTATTCAGCAAAAATAAATAATTCATATCTTTTAACTTTAATTAATTAATTAATTAACTTATTAATTGAACTAATTAACTTTTGCAAATATATTTCTTGGAACGAAGAGTTTATTTGTGAAGTTAATCGATTCTTTATACAAATATAATTCTCCTATTAATTATTTCAAATATGTTTTCTTTCAGATTTAAAAAATTTCACAGAATTATTTTTCAGGTAAGAATTTATAATATGTAATGTCTATCTATATACTTTTTCTTTGTGCTTATAACTCCACCTTCTGGAGCTTTGTGGTATTTAATATTCCATATTTATTTTTAAATGTAAAATATAAAAAAAAAAAAAATCATTTGTCCAAATGCGATTTTTGACCAAGAAATTTAAATTAAGAGTGCAACTTAAATGTTATTGACATTATGTCTAAAAATTCATACTTCTGCGCCTTATCACTAAATAAGTACTTCAGTAAAATATTCTTATTATCAATCAAATCGGAGTAATAAAAATTTCTGAAGCAGTCCGCTTAATCAAAATTTTCTTAGTAAAAATACGAAATTATTACCGAAAAAAAAAAAAATATACATAAAATTTAAATATATTTTTGGCAATTATTGAATGAATGAAACAGCAAAAATTGACAGTTCAAGATATAATTAACACTAATAAATCATAATTAATTGAATTAGTCAGTGCCTTGACAACCATTATCAGCTTATTAAATCTTAATCAAAATTCACTGTTTAATAAATTATATTTGGGCGAGAAGGTGAAATTATTTATAATATATGGTATGTACATAGCAATAATGTATATTAAGAGAAATAAATTAAAATATTTTTTTTAATTTAATTTATTAGATGCTATGTGTTTTAGTGAAAATAAATCTGTATACTATTTCTTTGTGCTCAAAATTCCAGCTTCTGGAGCTTTGCCACTGTCACAGCCTCATAACCATATGATGGTTACAAAGCCATGCCATCAGTATATTGCTCAATGACAATACAATATTATATTATATTGTATTTAAATATCATATCTTTCTGGTACGTTAAACATTTCTTCAGTCTGCGTGGTCGGTTTTAATTGTCAGTTAAACTTCTTCATTGTGACTTATTTGATTTCTTTGTAATGAAAGCATTTAAAAGTCGAGCTTCACATTTTAATTCCATACAACTATAATTGCTTTAGTATCACCCATAGATGACGCGTTTATTATGAAGTGATTGTGTTAATTTGTAATCTATTGACCTTAAGTAGGTTTCTGGCTTTATTTGTTTGAAGTAACTGTCATTGTTTTAAAGTCACAATGTACATGTTCCATCACTTGTTTAATAGGATACTAATTAAGTCAATATTTCGTTGA